CTTCCCCCTTCCCTCCTTCTTCCTCTTCCTCCTCCCCCTCCCCCTCTCCCCCCCCCTCCTCCACTTCCCCTCATTCCCCTCCTCCTCCTCCTCCCCCTCCTCCTCCTCCTCCTCCCCTCCTCCCCCTCCTCCTCCTCCTCCTCCTCTCAAACCTCTTGGCCTTCCTCCCCCTCCTCCCCCTCCTCCACTTCCCCTCCCCCTCCTCCACTGCCCCTCGTCCACTTCCCTCCCCCTCCTCCTCCTCCTCCTCCTCCTCCTCTCAATCTTCTTGGCTTTCCTCCTCACCAGGGAACCATCACCCCCAAGAAGGATTTCGACGTGGAATTCGCCGCCAAAAGGTTCCAGAAAGCCTTCAAAGGAATCGGATCGGACGAGAAGATGATCATCAAGATGCTCGTGCAGCACGACTCCCTCCAGCGCCAGGAGATCGAGGAGAAGTATAAGGAGATGTACGGCAAGGTAGGTTGGTGGAGAAAGGAGGAGGAGGGGGAGAGAGGGAGAGAAAGGGGAAGAGAGGGAGGAAGAGGGGGAGATGGAGAGAGGGAGATGTAAAGGAAGAGGGGGAGAAGGAGGGGAGAGGGAGAGAAAGGGGAAGAGAGGGAGGAAGAAGAGAGGAAGAGAAAGGGGGAGAAAGAAGGGAAGATGAAGAGAGGGATGGGGGGGTAAGGTTGGGGGAAAGGAAGAGTAAAGTAAGAGGAAGCTTAAGTATCAGAATGCATGTAAGAAAGAAAAAGAAAAAAATAGTATAAGTATAGCATGCACAGGAAGTTAGCTACTGGATATGGAGAGAAGTGAGAGAGAGAGAGAGAGAGAGAGAGAGAAATAGAGAGAGAGAGAGAGAGAGAGAGAGAGAGAGAGAGAGAGAGAGAGAGAGAGAGAGAGAGAGAGAGAGAGAGAGAGAGAGAGAGAGAGAGAGAGAGGGAGAGATAGAGAGATTGAGAGATAGATAGAGAGAGAGAGAGAGAGATAGATAGATAGATAGAGAGATAGATAGATAGATAGATAGATAGATAGAGAGAGAGAGAGAGAGAGAGAGAGAGAGAGAGAGAGAGAGAGAGAGAGAGAGAGAGAGAGAGAGGGAGAGAGAGAGAGAGAGAGAGAGAAAGGGAGAGAGGGAGGGAGAGAGAGAGAATAATAATGATAACAATAAATGATGATAATAATGATAATGATAATAATAAGAAAGAGAGAGAGAGAGAGAGAGAGAGAGAGAGAGAGAGAGAGAATAATAATGATAATAATAAATGATGATAATAATGATAAAGATAATAATAAGAGAGAGAGAGAGAGAGAGAGAGAGAGAGAGAGAGAGAGAGAGAGAGAGAGAGAGAGAGAGAGAGAATGATAATGATAATAATAAATGATGATAATAATGACAATAATAATAATAATGATAATGATAATGATAATGATAATAATAATAATAATAATGATAATAATAATAATAATAAGGATAATAATAATAATTATCATTATTATGATTATGATAATAATAATAATATTGATAATAATAATAATAATGATAATAATAATAATAATAATAATAATAATAATAGTAATAATAATAATAATAATTATAATAATAATAATAATAACAATAATAATAATAGTAGTAGTAGTAGTAATAATAATAATGGTATTAAAAATAATAATAACTATGACGATATTAAAAATATTCATAATTATGATGATGATATGAACGATCATAATGAAACCAACAAATTCCGCCCCAGGACCTGATCGACGACCTGAAGGACGAGCTCGGGGGCCACTTCGAGGACGCCGCCATCGCGCTGATGACCGCCCCGAGTGACCTCTTGTGCAGCGCCCTGAACGACGCTCTCAAGGTGGGGACGTCTTCGTGGTTTATGCAGACACTAACGCACATGGGACACTGTCATAGATACGTGAAACATGCACGTATGCAAACATACACGTACGCACATACATGAACATACGTGTACACTCACTACAGTGCCTATTATTACAGTTCCTCTCGTGGTGCATTTTTGCGTAAATGTTAAGGCATCTAGAAAATATCTCTTCTCTTTTTGTCTATTATTACTGATCATCACGTCGCTTCACCTCGAACAGGGAATGGGGACGGACGAAAAGACGATCATAGACATTTTGTGTTGCCGGGACCCTGAGGAGATTGATAGCCTGAGGCACCGCTACGAATACCGTGAGTTGCTGATGTTGTTAGATTTTTGCAGTATTAAAGCTTCTGCTCCCTGTGGCGGAAATAAAGGCATGCTGTGATGTCTAGACTTTCTTTACTGCTGTTCGTAAGTCGTGTTTGTTGGTGATTTCTTAATTTCTGAATCCCCTTTTCCCCGCTCCTCTCCATTTACCTGACCCGCCTTCGCCCCCAGTCTACGACGAGGACCTCGATGAAGTGGCCAAGTCCGAGCTCTCCGGCGACTTCCAGCGCTTGATTCGGGGCCTCATTGCCGGCGGCCGCGACGCGGAGGACAACATTGACTCCGCCAACGCTCGG